AACCGAACGCCGAGGTCACACCCGTGTTCCAAATTCAACATGCAAGGATGAGACCCGCATCTCAAATTCAAAATGTAGGGTCCACCCCCACATTCCAGAAGCAGGATTATGGCGCATACCTTCACACAGGTCCTACGTGCAAATCCCTTCAACCAAGATGCCTTCGAAGCAAGTGCAGAGAACAAATCCTTTACCACAAGGAATCAACAGCTCCAAGATCAGAGTTGAGATCCAAAGTATTCCGAAAATTCGTCCCAGTCAACCGCGAACTTTCGAAAACTTTGGAGGGGGTTCTGTAGGCTGTCTAAAAATCACAATAGATAGCTGATCCCCATCAAAACACCGATGATGGAAGTTACACTCTGACGACTTCCAGAAGGTTACAATTTGAAGACTTTCACGTAGATCGCTAAAGGTTACAATCTGACGACCTTCACGACAACTGATGGAAGCTCTAATCAAACAGCCTTCATAATCAACATCGGGAGTTACAATCTGACGACTCTCATATATCAGAGAGCTAAAGCAAAGATTACAAAATGACGATCTTTGCAACGCTTCGACAGAAAGAGACTACAAATCGACGGTCTCTTCAAATCAAACTGTGGAAGTCCTCCCCGCACACCAGCATCAAGACGCATCGCGTTCATAGCCACGAACGCAGCTCAAACGCAGCTCCAATCGCTGCCAAACGCAACTCCGAACGCAACTCAAATCAGCTCTGAACGCAACTCAAATCAGCTTCTGGACGCAGCTCAAATCAGCCTCTGAACGCGGCTCAGATCAGCAGCTGAACGCAGCTCAGATCAGCAGCTGAACGCAGCTTCAACCGCTGCCAGACGCAGCTCCAGCTGACTTCGAACGCAGTTCTATACTGCTGCCAAACGCACCTTCAAACAGAGAAGAACGCAGCTCAATATCGCTGCAGAACGCACCTCCAGATGCTGCGTTCAAACATAGAATCTATGCCAGAACGCATGTCAAAGTTCTGACCTGTTCAAACGCGATCCAGGCAGTTTAAAAAACCGCTCATCACCCACGATCTGGGGAGTGGTTTTAATGGGTTGTTACAACCGATTAATGAGGCAACTAAACCCTCATTTTAGGAGCGGATTATGGGGGCAGTTACACCCCGAATCTCCCTATAAATGGATAGGCAACAAGATCTTCTTCATCCTTTGCTTATAACCGACTTTCGGTTAAATCAACTCTTTCATAGAGTTTCAAACTCGTTCAGAGTTCTCCACAACGTTAAATCGTGAGGAGAAGACCACGTTCCAGTGAAACAAGACATCAGATCGTCAACGAGAAGCAAACTCGACGCGAGCATTCGAGGGAGGCATCTCATCGCTACCGTGAAGAACCCAGATTTAAACAAAGGGGAGAATCCAGATCATTCTCCTCTCTTTTGTAATCAGGAAATCCAATTGTAACTGAGATTAAAGGAATACAAATCAATTTTCCTTCGTTTCTTTTACTGCAAAAAGTGCGACCTGAACCATCTCCTCTGCAGCATTCACCGTCTCCCCCGTCAACCCCTTCACCAGATCCACCACCCCTTCCTCCGCCGCCTCAGCCGCCGTGATGTTTATGCCCCCAAGTTCACTAAATGTGTCCACATACTTCTCTTTGTTTCTGATAAGAAAGTTTTCATCCTCTTTCATTTTCTGGTGTAGTACAAGGAGTTCAATGTTTACGATTCCTCCTATCCATTAGAAGATAATTGTTTGCTATGCTTCCTGTTTAACATCCATGATTAACAGGACCAATGCCATCCAGAATTTCATCCTTTACAATCCAGAATTTCATCCTTTACAATCCTTTCTAGGACATCTTCATTCTCGTTAACAACACAATTATCCTCATGGTCTATAGCCCCTGCCACTGATGACAATACCTCATTTCACATTAACAATGTCATTATCACCCTCACCATCACCAGCAACACTATTGTCATCCTTGTTCCAAAGTGCAATTGTATTTGTAGCATGTGATTATTGTTTTCACTATAATTATTGTTTGTTTTGTCATCATCATTGTTGCTGCCACCATTACCTTGTTGCTGCTACCAACACTGCACTTACCTCGTTCTCTTCCTCCTCTTAGCTCACAAAAGATGCATTAACAAGAAACACAAATCAAATCAATGATTCATTAAAATGTTATCTTCAAAAAACATGATATGAATCCTGAGCATCCTTCGAACTGAAACACTGGGCTGGACACCTTCTATTCAGCTGTTAATTATTCAAGAAGAAGCCATGAAGAGAAACAAGATGATATGTAATTAACTAACTAACTAACAATAGTGATGGAAACCCATATAAGCATTTCATCAAACACCTTCTATACAATCATTTTTCACAAACTTAATAGTGATACTGGGACTTTAATTCTTGAACTCGGGTCTCCAGCTCATCAATCCTCTCTTTCCAATCATGGGTCTCACATTGTCATACTCAAATTCTTCATCTTCACTTTCACCTCCCTCTTTCCCCCTCGTAGTCTTTTGCTTCCTCTGCTGCTGTTTCTTCTTCTCCTTTTTGAGAGTAGCTGCTCTCTGGAGGGCGATGAGGACGTCGGAGCCTCTGAGGGATGATGGGCCTCCGACTTTGGCGGACATTTGTTGATGAAGGTTGGATTTGAGAGGAGACTGCTGTTGATGATGATCATGATGACGACGATTTGTTGAAGAGGATGAGGAGGAGGAGGGAGAAGGTGAGGTTGAAGAGGAGGAGGAGGAGGAGGTGGTTTTAGGAGCAGGTTTTTTTTGATGAGGGGGTTTTGTGTAGTAAATCCTGCCAGCTGGGCATCCCCTGAGCCTATAACCGTGTGACGTGAGAAAACTAATCCGAAAAATGAATCCGGCCAAACTTAAGGGATATACGACGCCGGAGTCTATATAATATACCAATTTGTCCAAAGTCAAAAAAAAAAAATCATTTTGTCACTAAGTGTCTACAAACCAATTTGGCCATTTTTCGCCTTTTTACTCTTTTCAAGCTCTGTGCAGTCGTCCATTTTTGGCAAGATATTGAAGGTAAATTAATTTTGGCGGAGGATTTGTGGGCTGCTCGGGTGATGGTTTCCTTTGAATACAGTTCAGATGAAAGTGGCCTAAAATTAGTATTGATAAGAAATGGGCCAACAACCCAATAGAGAGACCGAGCTGTAGGAGACTTCGAGATCAAGCGAGGTTAAGGCCCATATTCTGATCGTATGAAAACAGATTCGGATCTTCTTCATCTATTGTGGTAATTGATAATCTCAATTCTTATTATTATTTTAATTTCAAAAGTAAGATGAAGCCCCATAAGGTTTATATTGCTATCTTAAAAAGCACTATTACTTATGATAAAGCCACTATTTTGAAAAATCACTATTGTACAGTACAGTGGGAAATTCTATAAAACTCAGGCTTTAGTGTTGAAATTGATTGAATAGAGAAAGAGGGTTAGCATAAAAATTCTATCAGAACATGCTAATGAAAAAAGTGATCCATATCATTCACAGTTGATTAAGAGTTAGTCTGAGAATTACACATCCTTTGTTTATGGTATAGATCACCCCGCTTCCCCGTTGTTATAGAGTATTCTGATAGAATTCTTACTCGTTCTAATAGGATCCGTATTGAGATGATAAGAAGATTCTCTCCGGTTAGTTACCAGAATTAAGATACCTATTCAAAGTAATTTTCCAGAAACGACGGAGCAAATCCACCTTTGTAGCAAACGTGGAAGCTTATCTAGATTTCTACACCTGCATGCATGCCACTTATACGTATATACGTACTCCTTGCTCTTCTCCATTGTTGAACTGATCCAAATCATATGGCTGCCAAATTATCCCCATCCTTCGCCTACACCGTCGTCTACGTCAAGGACGTTGCCAAATCCGTAGCCTTCTACGCTTCAGCCTTCGGCTACAACGTCCGGCGACTCGATGAATCCCACAGGTTTTATTTCTAAATCCCCTCCCTATGACTTCCTTAATATAGAGAGCGGGGGATTGGTTCTCGATCGTTTTATTTTGCTAAATGAGCTATTAAGAAACAAAACTAGAATTCTTCAAATTTTAAAAAATTTCAATTTCTGTTTAGTTTAACGAAATTTTGGACGAAAAACTTTATGTGAGGTTCACTTGATCTCTTTGTAATGTAGAAATCAGCACCCCTACAACCAACCATACAACCAACCATATATATATAGACCATATATATATAGAGATAAGCTTATGTCAACCTAAGTGGATAGGAGGCATTGTCCACCAAACATTTTATCCACTCATCTTGTCTTTAGATTTGTGTCGTCAAGAGATAGCACAATTCTTAAAAGACTCTTCGTATCTTTCACGGATCCCAAGACAACGTCAATGGATAAAAAAAATTGATGGAGAGAGAGAGATAACTTTTCTAAAGCTGAATTTGATATGCTAGATGGGGTGAACTGGAGAGCGGGCAGACAACAATAGCCTTCACACCACTCCACCAGAAGGAGACCGACGTCCGGACCGGGCACGTGCACGCTCCGGAGTCGAAGGACGACAGGGC